TTTATTTATTACAAAACGTGGAACTCCCTCAGGTCCGTTTGCCTGTGACACTGTTGGAGATTCCTGGGTTTAGGTAAGCTAGAGAATGCAAGGAAACCGATTGGTGAGACCTCCCCCGCCTAAGCAGAAACGCAGTAAAACCATTAGAGTCAAAGGGGCAGTAAACAGCAAATTGTCTCTAGAGAAAAGGCGGAGGTTTGCCCAGACGGCCCGGCGGGGGTTGCGGTGGGATATGCTAATAGTGCCCGGCCACTGGGGCCGGCCTCCCTCCCCCAAGAATATATAAAGAGCCCCAACCCCAGCGCAGCGGACCCAGGCCGAGAGGCGTCTGCTTTTGTTAATTACCGGAGAAACTGACCCAGGAGATCAGCCCCGGATTTGCCCGCCCGCAGCGGCGCCTGGCTTGGGTTTCTCCCCTCTCTTGCAGCTGTCCAGGTGCCCTGCCTGTCTGTCCCCTGAAGATGGACATGATGGATGGCTGCCAGTTCTCGCCTTCTGAGTACTTCTACGACGGCTCCTGCATCCCATCTCCCGACGGTGAGTTCGGGGATGATTTTGAGCCAAGAGTGGCTGCCTTTGGGGCGCACAAACCAGAGCTGCAAGGCTCGGACGAGGATGAGCACGTGCGAGCACCTACTGGCCACCATCAGGCTGGCCACTGCCTTATGTGGGCCTGCAAAGCGTGCAAGAGGAAGTCCACCACTATGGATCGGCGGAAGGCAGCCACCATGCGCGAGCGGAGACGTCTGAAGAAGGTCAACCAGGCTTTCGAGACGCTTAAGAGGTGCACCACCACCAACCCCAACCAGAGGCTGCCCAAGGTGGAGATCCTGAGAAATGCTATCCGCTACATCGAGAGCCTGCAAGAGCTGCTAAGGGAGCAGGTAGAAAATTTCTACGGCCTGCCAGGACAGAGTTGCTCAGAGCCCACCAGCCCCACGTCCAATTGCTCCGACGGCATGGTAAGAACTAAGTCCGGTGCCTGCCTGGCCTCTGCAATCTTTTCCAAAAATATGACAGCCAAATATATGAAGTGTTTATTCGTGGCTGTTGGAGATGGGAGTGGGGAGGCAGTTGCTCTAAAAGAAGAGGGGTGTCACCTTTAGGAAAATGCCAGAAGCAGCAACCCAACTGGATTTTCACGTCTACTTAGGTCTAGTTATGCATTGTAGGAGGGGGGTTATTGTGTGAGGTTTATGATTGCAAATGATCAAGCAGCCAGAGGTTTCCTCTATTACTCCCGCTATTTCCAAAATACATCACCAATGGATGCTGTCATAGACTAACCTCCAAAGGGAACCGTCTGAAAGTCCCAGTGCTGGAGGGTTTATCACTTAATGAAGAAACCAAAGACTCTCCTCATGGCCGGGCCCTGCTCAGCTGTGCCCTGTCTGGGAAGAGATGTTGTTGCATTCTTTTCAGGGGACGTTTGCTCCAGCGCTGCCAGGTTTTAATGTGTTTTTGCCCTGGGAAAGTGTTCTCTCCCTGAATTAGTGTGGCTTCCTTCTTCTCCAATCCATTTTTCATGGTTAACCCAGTGCACATTGCTGCTGAGTCTACCCCCTCTTCCTTTGCTGCTTCTCTCCTGTTCCCCAAGCACAGAAATTGACCTCAGTGCCCTGGCAGTTTGGCAGGGTGCCCCCCCCTAAATCAAGGCAATGAAGGTGATTGAGAGTTCCATTTACTGTGCAAGTGCGCAAGTAGGCAAACACTGCCTCCTCTCACTGTCTCTTGCCAAAATCTAAAAACTAACTTTTTCCTTTTGTGTTTTATGTTTTAGCCTGAATGCAACAGTCCTGTCTGGTCCAGAAAAAGCAGCAGTTTTGATAGCATCTATTGTCCTGATGTACCAAACGGTAAGAATTGGTGGCTGCAGAGTTTAAAGACCTCAGTCTACCAATGCAGGTTCTGGTTTTCCAGGTAGTAGGGCGGGATGGGGGATAAAGGTAATAGTCCTTTTGGGGAGACTGTGGCAGAGCAAAATAAACTGGCATCATCAGCTCAGCACCCCGCCTCCACCCAAACAGATACATGTACAAGTTTACATTGGCGACTTTGTAGGAAATAATACCAAGAGAGCTTCTCTGCTGCCCAGCTTCATTCCCAGGAACTGCTAATATTTGTTGCAAAATTCAGTATCAAATTTTCTGAGGCCACCTGACCTCAGTAGCAAAAGGACTGAGATAGCTGTTTAAAGGAGACATCAACAAGTTGATCTGTTTGGGGATTTTTTAAATGGTTTTTCTTCCTGTATCTTTAGTATATGCCACAGATAAAAGCTCCTTATCCAGCTTGGATTGCTTATCCAGCATCGTGGATCGAATCACCAGCTCAGAGCAACCCACACTGCCTCTCCAGGAACATGTGTCTCTCTCCCCAGTCGCCAACATTGATTCACAGCCTGTGACTCCAGGGGCCTCTAGTTCCAGGCTCATCTATCATGTGCTATGAACTGAAAATCTATTCTTGATCAGCACTGCCAAGAGGGCCTATGACACAGTATTTCTTTTGGGGTGTAAATTTGTAAATATTATCCTGCCACTTTATAAGAAAGTGTATTTAACTAAAAAAAGTCACCATTGCAATTAATACTTTGCCTTTTCTTCTCCTTCCCCTGTTCCTCTTCTTCTTCACTCCTCCTCATTCTCTACTTTAGATACTTAGCTCCAGTAATATTGTTTATAATAGGGGGGCAATTCATTGGAGAAAGCCTGTTGCAATGTTTAACTTATATTTTTTATACATAATGCTTTTCAAAATATTATCTGTGGTATTTAGATCTTTATTTTTTCTTTAAAGCATTAGAACCAATTACAGGGAACTTTAAATATATTTAACTTTTGCTTTTCTCTTTAAACCTTTGGTTATATTGTATTAAATAAAAATATAACAATACTGCCTAATGGTATATATTTTGATCTCTTCTTATAAGAAATGTATCTTTTTAATGTAAGCACAAAATAGTAATTTGTGGATAATTTCAAGATATAAGGAATTTTGGAAGTTCCACCATAAATAAAAACTGTTTAAATGAATGTTTGGTTTGTGAGTCTGTGAAGGGACCCCCCAACTGGAATCAGCTGTTACTTGCATGAACTCTATAAGGTGAGGGTAAAAGTACTAAAGCAGTTGACTTTATAGACAAATCTCAGTATTTACTTAATTGTGGACTACATTTAGATTCTATGAATACCACAAATAAAAATACCATATTCCTATTATAAACACATTTTAAAAAATTATTTACTTTTTATAGAAAACTGGGGTGTAGGCCTGAGGTGCGGGGAAGGGCAGCTGTAGAGAGGATTCATCAGAGACAGAGTGGGGAGCAAAACAGGCAGATGTACTGAAATACACTGCTGAGGGGAGCAGCGGCCCACCTCCCTGGCAGGGATTGAACTTGTGCTGCAGTGTCTGTTGATAGCTTGATAGCACTGAGATTGTAACCCCTTGCCACTAGGGAGGCCCCTTTGAACACAATTCAAGGATACCTGCTAAAATATTGTCCTTCGTCATATCACTATATCACATGATGTGAAGTTGTGTGTGTGTTGATAGGGATGGTGGAAGTTACTGAGGACAACAGTATATGTTTAAACAAAAGTCCACAATAGTATATCTATTTTAATACCTACAATACATTAATTCATTTTACTTTATCTAGATTTCTTACCTGCCTGGAATATCTTGATACATTAATATATTAACACAGTCATTAAAACATATAAAGGCTTTATTATGTGAAAATTAGAGTGAAACAATCATTGGAGTGATTGTCACACGTCTAACAGATTAAAAGCAATCATCCTTGAGACATCTAAAATACCTTCATAGAGAGCAGGTAGTTTTCTCTTAATTTTACAATAGCCAAGATTTTAGTGGTTTGAATAACATGTATCTATCAACCAAAGCATATGGACTGATGATCACAGTTCTCGGGAAGGTTTCCCTTTCTCTGAAATGTGCTGTTCTTGGGCTTGTTCAGTCATCAGTCTTAAAGGATGGAAATTACTCCAAGGGAGAGGGGCTGCAGGGGGCTCTGGAACCTCGTGTCCTGATGTGGGATGTGACTCTTGGCACAAAGTTAAGTTCTTTATCCACAATTCGGTAGTGTGAGAATTTTAAGTGAAGAAAATTGAAGAGTGCATGATACAGTCAGCTAGTTTCAATCTAAGCTGAACTTCACTCTACTAGAAACTGAGGTAGGTACCTTTTCTTCTTTTCATACTTTTATAGAGAGGTAGAGATATATTGTTCTTTCTAAAAGAATCAGAATAAAAACTACCCCAAAACTGGTGTTTTCTTTTAAATTTCAATTTTAAAAAGCTTCCTGTTCTGACAAAGTTAGTAAAACTAAGCAAATAATTTTAATTCAAGTGACTTAAAATTGACTTTCTTATCAAACTGCAGTAATTTCTGTAACTTAGTGTTTGAAATAACATTATAGTATGTTTCAAAACTAGTTTTTCAATCATCTCGATTTAATACAATGGGGATAAGTATAAAATTAAAGAAATAATCTCTATGCCAGTTTGCTCCACTGATTGCATTTCTATTGTGTTAGTATAAAAAGCTGCTGTCTATAAGCAGCTCAACGTAACACATCGCATGCAGTCGTATATACTTTTTGACAAGGAACCTTCTGGAATTGCTTCTACAGTAGTCCAGACACAGAAAAGTCTCCATCTCCAAGAAAGTGGGGGGTAGGGAGTAGTGGCTGGCAAATTATTCAAGTAGGACAGGATTTTGCCACCTATAAATCTCCTGATCTGTCAGACCACTTCACCTCAACTCATGGGAAAATGCAGCAGTACTCAAATTTCTAGAAGCAACTCAATTGGCAAAATATTACCTTTGGTATTTGCAAACCTGATTGGGAGAAGTTTGTAAGGAAACGAGTCAAAAGAGACTCTTCTTCTGGTGCGCAGGAAATGCAAGTTCTCTGATTGTGTAGGAAAAGTAGGAGGTACTATTTGAAAACAAGCTGCTATATAAAATGTCCCCGTTTTACGATTTAATTTTTTTTGTTGAGAAAATGTTAGTTTACATCATTGTTTATGTTTGGAATCTTCCTCTATCCTAATGCTGATGTCACTGCTCCAACTACCAAGCCCTGGAGTTCACCGTTAGTCCTTTGTGCTCCAGATCTCTTCCCTTTGCTCTCACTTCGCCCCCCCTTCCCCACTGCCACAGTTCTCTAGTTAGCGTCCAAGGGTTAGTCTTTGTGTTTGTCTTTATTTGACCCTTTGTTTGGTTTCTCTGCATTTCACATAGCAGGGACCATTTTATATGTCTTTCTTTTTGTTAAATAAAGATTTATTTACGTATGCATACAGAAATGGGGTACAGCCAGAGGTGCAGGGGTGGTGAGATGATTCACCAGAAACAGAGTGGGGAGCAGAACAGGCAGATCAACAAAGTACACTGCTACTGCTGAGGGGAGCAGAGGGCGAGTCAGGAGAGGTCTTATGCGCCATGTGGGTCACCTCCCGGGGCGGGGATGGACCTGATACTGAATTGGCCACAGCTTGATTTGGCTTGGCAGTGCAGTGCTCCACCCCCCTGTACCACCAGGGAGGGCCTCTCTTTCTCTTTCTAACTTATTTTGCTATGTATAATCCCTCCCAGCTCCATCCATGTTACCATAAATAGCTTGAGTTTATATTTTTGATCCAGTATTATTCCACTGTGCATGCATAGATACTTCTTGAAAGATGCAAGTCAGGTATTAGTGCCTATATTGTACCCATAAATTTTTCTTTAAAATAATATTCCTATACTTCATCTGAGAATACTGTTTCTTGTAATTCTTTTTTTAGAGTAGTCACAAGATTAGAACAACTTAATTCTCTGAATTTCAAAGATGGAAATGATGTTGGAATACAGTTATTTGTAGTTCCATTAAAGTCCTTTCTAAAAAAATATTCACTTATCCATACAGAATTGGGGTGCAGGGGTGGTGAGAGGATTCACCAGAGACAGAGTGGGGAGCAGAGTAGGCAGATCAAGGAAATACACTGCTGAGGGAAATAGGGGATGATACAGAAGTCCACTGTGCCATGTGGATCACCTTCGAGGCCAGGGATTGAGCCCGCAATGAAGTGTCCGGCTAGCTTGCAGTCCTGTGCTTTAACCTGTTGCATCACCTTTTCAAGTGATATAGTATCCCTGAAATCATCATCACTGAATATTTCATCATTGTCACAAAAACTACAGAAATTTAATTAGTTTCTTTTAAGAAATCTGATAGATGTTTTAGTTGACTAATGATTTAATTGTTTGATAGGGTACATTTGTGGAGCAAAAGGTTTAGAATTAGTCTAAAATCTAAACTGGATCTAAAATGATTAATGTATTACTTTATTTTAATTTTCCTGGTTATATCTGTAAAATGGGATTAGAAATGATAGCTTATGGTAATATAAATAGACACCACTGAAACTACTAGCATTAAAATCTTTTGCAAATAATATTTATAAAAAGAAAAATAAGCCAAAACTTATTTCCATTTGTGCTACTTAATTCAATTCATTACAGATTAAGTGGGGACTAATGATAAAGCAGCAGCTAGTAATTATTGAATGCTTATCATTATGCAAATTAGGAAATTGAGGTTTAAGGAGTATACTAATTTGTTCTAGAAAACTCTATTCGGACTGGCTATTTGGGCTTCTTCACAGCACATATCCTGGGAGACTCAGACATAAGTTACTTGGTTTCCTATGACCTAGCACTGGAAGGACTCGAACATGACTTCTGCTGCAAGTGTGTACAAGACTAGTACACATTTGCTGTACGTGACTAGTATACATTCGTTGTCTCTGTTTTCTGAACTTTCGCTCTGTAATCTGGTATTGTCTCTATTCCCATTCATGACCATGAAACCTTAAAGTCTCCCCATGCTTGGGGAGACATATTTCTGGCCCAAATGTCTTCCTGATCTTTAGATCTGCATACCTGACTGTTTGCCTAACATCTTTCGAATATCTCATTGACACTTCTCAAAGAACACAATAAATATGTACTAAATATCATGATATTCTGCTTCTCTTCCTACTTCTAAACCTAGCTCCTTTTCAGTGTTAATTCTTTCTGTGAATGATATGACATCACCATTGATGTAAACATGAAACTTAGTACATACACTGCTGATACTTCCAATCTCCCTCCCCTCTTGGGCACCTGCTTTCAAAAATAATATATATATTTATTTTTCTAAATACCTTTGCCCTCAATCTATGGTTATCTCGATCTGGGTATAATAACTTTCCAAACTGTAATTTATGGAATCAGTGATTTGTTTTAGTATTTGCCTGTAATTAATGGAATAGAATTCCTCTTGTACTCCAAAAAGCTTTTCAAATTGACTATTTTATAATCAAGGTGATTTTAAAGTCAAGGAGATTTTGATCCTAAACAAAGGTAAAACAAAGAGATTTATTAAATACTTCTTTTATACTAGAAACTGGGTTTCTCATTTCTTGTCAATCCTGATCATTA